ATGCTCTCTATGCATTCGTCGTGAAAACATTCGGCTTGCTGCAGCAAATAACTCATTGGGCATTAGTATTTGATGTATGATATACATAAAACTACGCGTAGAGTGAGGTATGCACCATGCAGTCGGCGCGACGACATTTCTTTTAACAGATAGAATGTTTTCAGAATGAGTCGCAGACGAGTTAACGATGAGTCTGAATTAGCGCCTTGAGCAGGTACGTGCTCTCTATGAATTTATTATGAAAACATTCGACTTGTCACAGTAAAAAGACTTATTGAACCTAAGTACTTAATATATATATTATACTTCAAACGTACGGATTTGGCCAATATGCGTGATACGCTGAGTACAAGGAATACAGTACACAAGCGGCTCGGCACACACCTCTCTTGACAATGTTTTCAAACTGAGTCTTAGGCGAGCTTATGTGAGCTGATGGCGAGTCTGAATTAACGTCTTGAACCGACACGTACTCTCTATACATTCATCATGAAAACATTTCGCTTGTTTCAACCACAATTTTTTTGAGTCTATTTCATATATAATATACTTAAAATAATAAGTCTGCAAATAGAGCAAATGTACTAGAAATTTATTTCCGCATACTCAGGGTTTCTTTATTGACTCCAAAATAGAAACGAAGTGAACTTTTATTTTGCAAGCACACCACTCACTTTTGCGGAAATAACGATACCATTGCTTTCATCTTACAATGTGTCCCCATTTTAACTTGTCACTAATTACATACTTGATGCTTTACTATCATATACTCATTCCGTTTTTGTTTTTTTCATTTAAGTCACCTTTTTTAAGAGAATAAATTTTGCCGTAAATAACTTTAAAATTATTTACCGAACTGATTAAATGTCATTGTCATGAATAATAATTGATTTAAATTACCTACTATTTAGTGAATTAATTTTTATGCGCGTAATTAGTAAAGGAAAGGAAAATTGCCACTGAGTCACATTCATAAAATAAGCAAAGTAAGTATTACAAAAAAGGGAAGACGTTAGTTTATTTTCTCGAGATTCTTCTTAACGTGCATGTTTACACATCCAGATACATTTACACAGACACGTGTTGATGTGTGACTTCTTTGATTTCTGGTTCAATAAGAAATAAACACTTTGCAATAGGTACATAAACGATCTGACAGTAGACGACGATGGTAGTAGAAACATGGATTATTACAACTAACAAATACAACAAGGGAGTATCTATACATGTCAGTAGGGTACAGTTCATAAACGGGCACAAACACACAAGTACTTATATCTATTAATTGATTCAGTACAATTTTTACGAAAATCGTCAATTCTCGAACATTTAACAGGGCCGAACTTGTTGGTACAAGTGAGAGACATGAGTACTAACATAATGCCACAAAAAAAATAGAAAATCGAATACACGTATGTCGCGTACTCTATATGAACGAAGGAAAATCTACATCCAATCTTCATCTTTCATTTCGTTAATTAAGCAACGTGGTTTAGGGACCAAAAATTTGTAAGAAAACAAGATAAAGTTGCAATCAGAAGCCAACCCTGGGCGTGAATTGACGCTACATCGATGGAAAATGTAAACAGCGATTGTTTTGGAACGACTAATAGGCTGAATATCAATAGCATACTACTATATGCGGTAGTCTTTAAAGTAAACCTCATCATCGTATCAAGAACACAAAATACAAAAGAAATTCTCGTACAACACAGATGCCGCATCTGATGGAGTGCAACTTTGTAGTGTCGTATATCCCTGCGTGACCCTACCAGGGCCGGACTAGCCCTTGACTGTAGTTTTAAATACGTATTTCTCGAAAACAATGGACTTTCGTGCCACTAAGCAAACATTTATGTAGTCTTCTTGTTTTATAGTTCGTACCACCTCCTGCAAGCCTGCTACTTACTACAAAAACACCCTGTATAAGCACTCAACTGAGACAGTTAGTCCTACTACATCTGTTAGATAAGATTGAATAGAAGATGTTTGATTTATTTATATTAAAATAGTGTGCATGATCACTTTTAAGAAGTTAGTATTATGACTATTCAGTAATTTTGCTATGATAAGACACTTTCGAGTTAAACATAAATTAATTACAATCGAAAGGTGCACAAATAATAACTAAGTATTTATTTCAAACACTATCCAGTATTTGAATTATTCGAAGAAAAGTATATAGGCTTATAATTAAGAAATCTTAAAATAAAGACCATTTCAATGCTTCACCATCAGTGGCTTCGTACGAAGGGTTATTTAAAGAATCGCTTGGATGTCTGTCAAGCGTCTTTAATTTTCGAATCACTTAATCCACCGAACTGATACTTTAAATAGCACAGAATACGCGAAAATATCGAAATAGACTCGATAAAAAAAAACGTTATTGAAATTGGAAAATGTTATGTATCTATCCATTATCATAGATCCTAAGATACATATGTATGTCCAAAGTATAAATGTTTAAGCACGCCTTTAACTGTGTATAATCAAGTAACAAAGGTATTGTTCAATATTTAAATAAAGATAAAGATATTAAACATTCGTAATAGGTACTGATTTAGCATAAAAACATCAAAAACTATTTACAGAGTACTAATTTCCTGTTTTTTTCAAATTATATCTACATGTACATATGTATTCATTGTTTTAGTTTACATTAGTGTCAATCAGCACTTTTAAATGTGAATCCCAGCATTATTTACGATTAAAATTACACATTAAAATTGTGCGATTGCCTGATGCGAGTTTAAGCGCCTTTTCACACTGGCTACTTTTTGTAGCGCTTCAGTTGCGCGATTTTTTGAAATCCACTATTTTAAATTTACGCTTTCACACTAGAGCAGCGCTTTAAGAACGTAGCGCTACAATCGCTGAACTGTAGCGGAATTCGCTTGAATCGGGCGGCCAAATAGTCGTGCAATTGTTGCGCTTTACTAAGAAATGCATTTACTTAAGTTAACGCTTCCACACTGGTGCACTTTAGTTATGCGACAGTCCGATGATGAACAATGTCGAAATTATGCAAAATTGAAAACAAAGACTGCATTTGGAACAGCTACAGCGCAAACTAAATTAGGAAGAACATAGGAAGATGGAATGACCGAAAAGCTTTTTTCAATTCGATGTAAATCTTGGAAAGATCTATAGAAATCCTCTCATCAATCGATTGCTGTTGTAAAGATCGATCCAAATGTTTCTGATTGTTTATATTCTTATTCTTTTTTTTAATTTATCGGGGACCTGAATTTGAAATAGATACGTTACTATTGGGTTGTTCGGAAAGTCATTTCGTTTTTTCCCGACAGAGGATTTAATTGTATTCTTTTGCACCCAACTTCACATTTAAGCCGTATAATTTTTATATGCTTTGAGAGCTCATATAGCAAGGCTTGTATGTGAAAAATTCCAATTAATTCTACGCAGTAGTTTTTGGTTGGTGCCCTTTTAAATATGGAGAGCGATAAGCAGCATTTTCGACATATCTTACTGTTTTACTACAGAAAGGGTAAAAATGCTGTTCAAGCCAGAAAGAAATTGACTGATGTGTATGGAGAAGGTGTGTTGACAGTACGCCAGTGCCAGAACTGGTTCGCTAAATTTCGATCCGGCAATTTTGATGTCGAAGATGCACCACGTTCGGGAAGGCCGGTTGAAGCTGATAAAGACGCGATAAAGGCATTAGTTGATGTGAACCGGCGAATAACAACACGTGAGATCGGATTGAGGTTAAATTTATCAAATTCAACAGTTTATGACCACTTGAAAGGCCTGGGATTATCCTCGAAGCTCGATGTATGGGTTCCCCATGTTCTCACAGAGAGAAATCTGTGTCGCCGCATTGACGTCTGCGATTCGCTTCTCAAACGTCACGAAAATGATCCGTTTTTGAAGCGCATCATCACTGGGGACGAAAAATGGGTTGTATACAACAACGTCAAACGCAAGAGGTCATGGAGCAAAAAAGATGAACCGGCTCAAACCATTTCCAAAGCCGATATTCACCAAAAAAAGGTGATGCTGTCTGTTTGGTGGGATTTTAAAGGAATCGTTTTTTTTGAGCTTTTACCGGATAACACAACGATTAATTCGGAAGTCTACTGTCATCAGCTGGACAAACTGAATGATGCACTTCAACAGAAAAGGTCAGAACTAATCAACAGGAAAGGTGTAGTGTTTCACCAAGACAACGCGAGACCTCACACAAGTTTGGTCACTCGCCAAAAGCTTTTACAGCTTGAATGGGATACAATGCTACACCCACCATATTCTCCAGACCTGGCACCATCGGATTATTATTTGTTCCGGTCACTCCAAAATTTTTTAGACGGTAAAACCTTCACCTCAAATGAGGAGGTCAAAAACCTCCTCGATCAGTTTTTTGCCAGCAAAGACCAAAAATTTTATGAGCGTGGAATTATGCTACTACCAGAAAGATGGCAAAAGGTGTTGGACCAGAACGGTCAATATATAATTTAATAAAGTATTTGTTTATTATACGAAAACTGTCTTTCATTTCCACAAAAAAAAAACGAAATGACTTTCCGAACAACCCTATAGTTTCTATAGACTATGTTTGCAGATCAAAAACAGTCTTTTTAAGCGTTTTAATTCGCAAATACCTTTAAGATTGCTTAATAGTCTGATCTTAAATATTTCACGCATTTTCACCGTTTTTTGGCAGTCTTTAACCGAAAAGGAAAATTTTCTTCACGGCTAAGTGAAAGGTAGACAATCATACAGACAAACCCTTGCTAGAACGTTATTATAATAACTATACGATAGTATTTACAAAAAAAACTACCCTTTTAGCGACTCTGTTTACTGATCCACCCTTTTCTTTTATTATATCGGAACTTTAATATAAATAGCAACTAGTAAGTATCGTGATATTTCCCGTTTCTTTTTTTAAACGATGATAATGGTCAAATGTCTGTTGTTATTTAGACGCTAGTGTCGCGGCCGGCTTGACGGGTACAATAAATTTAGCCTCGGCGTCGCGTCGTTCAGTACGAACGTATTCCTGTGTCGTCAGATTAACACAACGCGAACGAGGAGAGAGCGACGGACGGTCATGAGAGTCCGTCGCGACGCCAGTACCCTATTCAACCGATCATCAAAACGTCCGTCCACGAATTCGCGGTCGATCCTAACATAAATACATACACGCACGCATACACATCGACGCATACAAACTAAAGACATATCATATTATATGCTGTCTATGATTGTGTTATCTGAAACTTTTCTTTACGCGAATCCATGTGAAATTATTATCTACCTAAATATACAATAGTGTACCTTGATCTTCTTAGAGATCGTAAACACAAAGTGAAAGTGCAGTTAGTGTAAATAATCAATACGGAAAAAGATTTTACGATATGTTTTTCGAAAGGTGATTAGTAGATACGAAATCAATTTGGGATGCAAACAGACAGTTCGTTGTTTTACATTCGGTAAAGTAAAATGGTTAAATTGCGTCGGGGAAGTCTGGAAATGGCAACCGACCATCAAGATGCATATAGGAAGAAACAGGACGTCCTCTCGAAAGCAAGGAATAAGCTCTTTAGTTTTGGCGAGTCCAATAAACCAAACAAATCCGCCACGACAAACGGAGACAGCGAACAACATTTAAAAAAGTCCCGAGCTCAGGCTACGATAGACTACTTTTTTAAATCCGGGTCGAAAAACAACGACAAAGTGTATACAAATCAGAAGACCCAAGTCAAAAAGACGACCCTACAAAAACAAAATTCTATCGGCTCTTATCCTTACGACGGTTTCAATTCCGATGTAGAACCAGAGTTTTCCATTAGCAGGTCTCGTCCTGCGACAATTTGTACAGGAAGGACAACGGACGAGTGCAGGGAAACTGCCGCTTTGGCTTTAGAACGGCCCAGGAAGAAACAACTGTCGTTTAGGGAACCGGAAATATCCGGTTATGCCACGCACGTTTCGAAAAATAACGGAAAACAAAATGGAAAAACAACTGTACATTTAGAACCCAAAAATATCGGCCGAGACGATTTTGACGACTTCGAAGACTTAGAGGTAACATATGATATAAACAAACCAAGAAATGATAGACAATTGATGCGTAAATAACAATATGAAAGNCATTTTCCTTGTTGGGTCTTGGAATTCCAATGACAACAGAAGTGGTTTTACAACACTAATAGCTAATGATAAAAGTGATCCTATAAATGATCCATTTTCCTTGTTGGGTCTTGGAATTCCAACGACAACAGAAGTGGTATTACAACACTAATGGCTATGATAAAAGTGATCTTATAGGAGATCCATTTTCCTTGTTGGGTCTTGGAATTCCAACGACAACAGAAGTGGTTTTACAACACTAATGGCTATGAATAAAAGTGATCCTATAAATCTAATTTTTCCCTTGAAAGCGCGGCTACTGCCTTTAGTTTCTGAAAAAACGCCAACGGTTCATTATGTTCTAGATCTATGGGACTAGAATTGTGTTTCAAATAGGTCCTGAAAATATACCTCTGCTGAAAACTTGACGCGTTTGAGTTTCAAAAAACTAACGACTTCTAATGTTTTTTATGGTTCAAAACCCGTGTCAGAAATTTGGCTTTGGCTTAGTAATTTTTTGTATCACAATAACAAGTGCAAAGTCATAAATTGTTTACAATCGTCATTTATTACAACATAATAAAAATCATTCAAGGGGTACTTTTTATTTTTTTATTAAAGTGTACCTCTATGACTCACAGTGTTTATTACAATGAAAAATAAGCAATTAATCGTAGACATACGTTTATTCTGTGTGTCTTTTTGTAAGTATTTACACACGTTTTGTTTTTTTTTTTTAAGGGCCAAGCGATGAGAGTGGTGAGGACCATAGGTCAAGCATTTGAAGTGTGCCATAAGTTGTCCATAAACGGCCCCGAGATGGACTACGGCGACCAAGATGAAGACATTTTTACACAAGACTTAGTTAGTGATCGATTTAGCGACATTCATAGTGATAAATCAAAAAAAGGTAACTAAAGCTATTTACAATTGGGCTAGTCAAATTTAGCATATTGAGAATTGAATGTTTTTTTGAGTTCATATTTATGAAACCGGCCTGCGCCTATCAGATAATTTTCAAGAAAAAAACAATAAAAAGTCAACTGAATTACTTATTATGTACTAGTGACCCGCCCCAGCTTCGCACGGGTGCAATGCTGATACTAAATATATTTTTGTTTTGTTTAGATTATTCTCGAAAAGGGGAAATCATCAGAAAATACCCCCTGAACATACTAAACATACTACAGAATGTCTTTATATACAACATTCACAGTGTTTTTGTCAATCGTAAATATCAGAGTGAAGTACTTAGCTATAATATGTATACAAAACTTCAATTAGGAATTCAGAATGTAAACACCCCAAAAACTTATTTGTCAGATTAGGTAAGGATAAAAGAGGACCCAAAAACATGATTGTTATTTGTATTCTTTTTTTAGAAATACCTCAGTTTGGAAACAGTAAATCATTAGAACAAGAGATAGCTTAATAAAATTATTAAAATGCTTTGTATTTTTAGCCAGAAATAGAACCACAAAAAATGCTTGTGTGTGTTAAACAATAAATACGTTAGATCTCCAATAAAATAAATAAANCCCTTTTAAGATGTACAATATTGTAGTACATTATTTTGATCTATCTCGTAGGGTTCAGCCAGCGTTTGCAATGTAAGCGCAAAAAATGTGTTTATTTACGACATCACATTAGAAACCTCTAAAATGATCAGTGTTTCCCTACTATATTATGCATGTATTATACATATAAACCTTCCTCTTGAATCACTCTATCTTTTAAAAAAAACAGCATCCAAATCCGTTGCTTAGTTTTAAAGATTTAAGCATACATAGGGACAGAGAGCGGGAAAGCGACTTTGTTTTATACTATGTAGTGATACTTCATGAAACCTACCACTGAGAAAATTGCAGTTAAAAAACGCATAAGAAACATAATTGTTCATATCTAAAGTAAACCCCCGGTAGTGTGAACATTACGTAACGTAAACCCCGCATAATATGAACCAGCCAAATCCGAAACTAACAGCTCATTGACCTGAATTTCGTCAATCCTGAGCCTTTTTGAGTTTTGTTAGCTAACGTAAATAATAACTGATTTCAAGCGATTCACTTCACAATGTAGCAGATGGTCAAAGATTCAAGTGATCTGAATTGAACGAATGGGTCGTATCGTTATTTTTTTTTAAATTACATGACACCTATTAAACTGTCAATAGTCGAAATAGCAGAAAACAAATTACGTTATTTACGAAAAAAAATCTGATTACGTTGCCTGTTAAAAATATTGGGCACGAATTTTTTGTGCGAAATGCGTTTTTTCGGGGAACAGGTGACCAACGGTGATGCTCATCGTTCGGCAGCCAAATCTGAGATTGTGTTGTCTATCAAGAAGTGTGAGCGGACATCATGTGACAGAACTAATTGCAAGTTCAGCGACTATATCATATTTTGTGAAATTTATAAATAAAACGGCGAATGTAGCCGTTACCGCCCCGTGCTACAGGTCGCACAATAATAGTTAGATAAATTGACTGATATTTATGTATTTCGGCCGATTCCGGGGGACATTATCCATTACTGTGCCAAAATTATATAAATTAAATACATACAATTATTTTTTGCTCATATACATATTCAACTTTGCAAAAATATTTTACGAAATTAGTTTGAAGCATTGAATTGATTCATATCTTCTCTTATTAAATGAACTATTAATTGAAACCACATTCTATTGACGGACAAATATACATACGAAAATGCAGTGCAACGACGCGTCGATAGATACTTGATTGAATGATTAGCGAATGGGATATTTTTGGACTCTTTCACAGTGCAAGTTTGACGTCATTGAAAAACCGATTAATAATATACAAAAATAACAGCCAACGATAGAAATGCCGATCACTATTCACCCATAAGTTCGATGACACCTTTATGTATCCGATAATGTTTACAGTATAAGACATTAGCACAGCATTTTTGCCTATAAGTAAACTGGTTACATTAAAGAAACACTTAATTAGTTCTTTTTTGCACAAAAATCGGTTTTTTAGTATGTTTTGCTAGAATGAAACTATGTTTACATAAGTTAGATGTACAATACCGATAGAATGTTGAAGAGCAACAATTTTCTATGATCTATTCAAAATTGTCCGGATATTTTGCAGATTATCTGTCTATTATGGTATTTAGAACTACATTTTTAACGATATTTTTAAATTTTTTCAATGTAGTCTTAAAAGGGATCTGTTTTCCTTTTGAGATTCAAAATTGTAACGAGTAAAGAATTTAAATTANAATAGCTAATGATAAAAGTGATCCTATAAATGATCCATTTTCCTTGTTGGGTCTTGGAATTCCAATGACAACAGAAGTGGTTTTACAACACTAATAGCTAATGATAAAAGTGATCCTATAAATGATCCATTTTCCTTGTTGGGTCTTGGAATTCCAATGACAACAGAAGTGGTTTTACAACACTAATAGCTAATGATAAAAGTGATCCTATAAATGATCCATTTTCCTTGTTGGGTCTTGGAATTCCAACGACAACAGAAGTGGTATTACAACACTAATGGCTATGATAAAAGTGATCTTATAGGAGATCTATTTTCCTTGTTGGGTCTTGGAATTCCAACGACAACAGAAGTGGTTTAGAACACTAATAGCTAATGATAAAAGTGATCCTATAAATGATCCATTTTCCTTGTTGGGTCTTGGAATTCCAATGACAACAGAAGTGGTTTTACAACACTAATAGCTAATGATAAAAGTGATCCTATAAATGATCCATTTTCCTTGTTGGGTCTTGGAATTCCAATGACAACAGAAGTGGTTTTACAACACTAATAGCTAATGATAAAAGTGATCCTATAAATGATCCATTTTCCTTGTTGGGTCTTGGAATTCCAATGACAACAGAAGTGGTTTTACAACACTAATAGCTAATGATAAAAGTGATCCTATAAATGATCCATTTTCCTTGTTGGGTCTTGGAATTCCAATGACAACAGAAGTGGTTTTACAACACTAATAGCTAATGATAAAAGTGATCCTATAAATGATCCATTTTCCTTGTTGGGTCTTGGAATTCCAATGACAACAGAAGTGGTTTTACAACACTAATAGCTAATGATAAAAGTGATCCTATAAATGATCCATTTTCCTTGTTGGGTCTTGGAATTCCAATGACAACAGAAGTGGTTTTACAACACTAATGGCTAATGATAAAAGTGATCCTATAAATGATCCATTTTCCTTGTTCGAGCCTGGAATTCCAACGACAACAGAAGCGATTTTACAACACTAATGACCAATGATAAAAGTGATCTTATAAAGGATCCAATTTCTTTGTTGGGGCTTGGAATTCCAACGACAACAGGAGTGGTTTTACAACACTAATAGCTTATAACAAAATTAAGTTTATGAAGGATACATTTTCCTTGTTGGGGCCTGGAATTTCGACGATAAAATAAGTGAGTTTTGGCCTAAAACTTCAACCAGAAAAAAAAGGATTTGTTTTCCTTGTTAATGTCTGAAACTCAAACAAGTAAAGAAGTGAAATTATTTTTTTGAGGGCTGTTTATTGAGTTTCCAAACACGATGGTAAAACACCAATAGTACATACGATTTACGTTCACGTAATTTACATTACGGGGTACTCTCAGACGGGTTTATTTCTCTAAAGAAAAGGCAATTAAAATGCTGTAAGTTTTTATGGCGCCTGGTATTAAACCGTTTTATCGTTATTCAGACATGGACGTCCAGACACTACGGAACGATTTTATTTGATTTCTGGCTACACGAGTGTACCTATACAATGTTTTGTAGTATTTTATATCTGGTCGGTATTGACGACAATTGTCTATTTTTACGGCGATGCTTTTGTTCGTGCCGTAGATTTGCACATAAAAACGACATTTTCGACAATGTTTATATCATTCAAAATAACATCGGCCAAAGTTTAACTCTTTCATCACATCGCTCTATTATTATCTAATTGAAAAGGGCGATGCACTCCAAGGCAACTAACTGACAAATATAGAGAGTGTATGCTATTTGTTTTTGTCTCTTAGACGCGAAATTAAGATGCCGGACACTTTACTCAACCATCGCTATCGAACTGAGTTTCAGTACAATTGAGTTAACTGAAACGTCAATGTTTTAATCTTTTTTTTTGCACAATTTGAAATCGTGACAGAAATTTTTGAAATTAACTTTTAAATTTACAAATAAAGTGAATTCTTGATTATTTGGTGACAACAAATTTATTTTATTTTATATAAGCTTTTACCCAAAATTTCATGATCGATTAAGTAGTAAAGGCGTGAAATGATGATCTTTGATATACTTAATTATAATATTTTGGGCCAATTTCATCCATTTTATCTAATTACAGATATGTTATCGGAAGAGAGTGAAAAAAAATCTGAACCTGAAGAAAATATTTACAAAGACAACAATGGAAACGACACCATTAGTCGAAACAGACAACAATTAAGTGACAATACAATTTCGATTGATAACAGTTCTCCAAAGAAAGCTCATACGGTAAGAACTTTAAGCTATTTTTATGGCTTTTATGCAAAATTTGAATCCGTTCGCAATTCCCATTTAATCAAAATCACATCAAAAATTATCTCGTTCTAATCTTCAATATTTATGGAAATACACCAGCAGAAAGACAGACACCTCCTAATAATTTTCATCATACATTAACAACTTCCAACTGAAGTTTCTTTCAAAGTTCATACAAATCTGATGTATTTGTTTCTAAAAATTTTATTGCTATGCAATGTTTTGTAATTTCACGTTATACAGGGCGTTTCTGAAACAAGTAGCAAGCTTTCAGGAAGTGATAGATCACTCTATAATACAAGAGAAAAGCAGAAAAACATATTTGAAAGTACAGTCAAGACTCAGTCCGACCCTGGTAAGACCACGCGACGTTACAACACCGCATTCTATTAGCTGCAGCATCCGTGTTGTAAAAGCTTTTTATTTTGTGTTCTTGACACTTATGTCGAAGTGCACTTTAAATAGTACTGCATACTATAAAGTAGTTATTTAATTAATTAATTAGTAAGCTGTCGATATTTACATTAGTAGTCGTCCCACAACCGTCACTATTTACATGTTTCGTCGATTAGCACTACAATTCACGCCCAGGGTCGGCTTCCGATTGCAACTTCGTTTGATTCTCTTACAATTTTTTTGTCCCTTAACTACACTGCTCTACTCTAGTTAATACCCTCCAAAGCTTGCTAATCCACAAACACCCTGTACACGTATATAAGTACATTTATTGCAATAACTTTGGGGGTCTGCTATTTTTACTGAAGTAAATGTTCCTTTCCCAGGATCGAAAAAACAGCGGTACTCAATCGAATGGCGGTAACAATCCTACTAATATCACCGGCGGGGGAAACAGCAGTCACCTGTCATCTTCCAGCGCCCTTTCGACACACCACGAACTGCAACTGCTCAAGGAACAGCTGGACCAACAAATGCAACAGACTCAAGCTGCCCTTGGCCAGTTACAACTCGTTCGAGAACAATTGGCAGCGGAACAGGTATTTTCACATAACATTTTGTTAAGAGTGCTTCATTTCTACAAGGCAATAAGGGAACGTCAAATAGACTTTTTCCATAAAGGAACATATTTTAGAATATTAGAATGAAATAGTTTAACTTACAAGAAGCAAGTAAATGATAAATACATTTTACCCCAACCACAAATGGACCTAATACGAAACGAACTCACATAAATTATTTTTAAGTAACGTTATCAATAAGAATCAATAATGATTACTCTCAAATAGTTATAAATATTTGATAGGCTGACAGTTAAATGGCACAAAATGTTAAATATACTTAAAAATGCAGGGATGAGTTACAGATATAGAAGAGTGATACTTAGTTTGTATAAAGAGCAACAGGCAGTTATAGAGCTGCTGCTTCAACGTAGATAAGTAAATATAAGGAAGGGAATCAGACAGGGATGCACACTGTCACCGCTACTTTTTAATCTATACATCGAAGAGGCGATCAACATAACTAAAGATAGTACAACTTAAGGGATATACTGGGGCAAAAGATTAGTATGCTTAGTTTAGCAGATGATACGGCAGTATTAGCATCTAGCATGGAAGAGTTAGAGATAGAGATTTAAATAAAATGGAAGCGGTATTGATAAAGCAGTATTGTATGAAAATAAATGAAAGTAAATCAAAAACATTGGTATGCAAGGGAAGAAAAAGTAAGAAAAGTGCGAATATAAAGGTAGGAAACGAAAAATTAGAAGAAGTGGCTAATTTTAGGTATCTAGGAAGTCAGATCGGTCAAGACGGAAGGAGAAGTAGGGATATAAAGCAAAGGATAGCGCAGGGTTGAGTTGCCCTTCATAAAAAGTAGTCACTTCTATACTCGCTAACGGTTAATTTAGAAATTCGAAAAAGGTGTATGTTTGGAGCGCGGCGCTGTACGGAAATAAGCGAGACATATTAGAGGCAGAAACAGGAGTTAGTAGGGGTAGATTACTGTGCGCAAATAGTTAAGGTTAGTGGATTGTTCTAGTTTTGAGAAAATGCGAATATTGGGATAGGAAAGAGTAGAGGTGTGTGTCCAACCAGTCTGTCGACCTTATGATGATGTCGGTGACAGTTAAATTGGTTTGAAGGTTGTTGCTGTAGTAACTTACGATGTGCACATACGTTATAAAGTAGTAAACATGAGTAATTTGTTGTTTTATAATCAACATATGGCCATTTGCGATCTCAGGAAAAATAAACAGGGGTTACCAATAAATGCGGTGTTATATTCCAACTAACATGTTTTAATTTACCACTTCACTGGAACGACAATTAGTCTACAATTGTTTCCAGAAAGGACTAAGAACCATAAAATTTTCCGTTTAAAAGAAAATACTGTTAAAAAAATAAACGTAAATCTATTTATTATTAATCTCTTAAGCAGTTAACTCTATCCTTGACATCATTTATTTATCCTAATCCTACAATAAATATCCTAAATATTTTCCTTAATATTTACGTATATTCATAGATAATATGTAGGTAAAAATCAGTGACGTGAAACCAAATGGAAAATTTTAACCACTACTAGTCGTAAATATTTGCTGTTCTTCCCAAAATAGAGTGTTTGTTAACATTTGGCGACTGCAATGAAATGTACAACAGGCAAACAAAAAAATCCTTCAAAAAAGGGATCTATGAAAATGAAACGAGGTCCATTTAGGATGGACAAAACCTATGAGTTTATTAATATTCTGAATAATGGTAACGCATGCTCTGTGATGTTTAGGTACCAACTTAAGTATTTTACTTTTCAATCAAATTAAAACCACAAATTCTCCCTTATTATTATAGGTAAACCTAAATTAAACCTACCACATCATCACAAGCGTTTAAGCAATATTATATCAAAATTTTGTACAATATGTCTTCCACCTGAAGAAGGAATTTTTATGCGTACTTTCCAATTTATTTCAGAGTGCGAGAATGGAAGCTCAAGCGCGAACTCAGCAGTTATTGGTGCACAACAAGGAACTGCTAGATCACATTGCTGCTTTGGTTTCACACTTACAGGGAAGTGAGAAAACCAGCGGGATGCAGCAAAATGTGCCACATATGAATATTCCTCAGGTAAGTCACTATTTTGGATCGTTTCTGTTTTCGTTTTTAATTGCTATTGCTTATATGGCTGATGTGTTATATTAGTTTTCCGTTTCAATTTTTGCATTTATGATTTCCTGCGCTTCTTATACCGTACTTAAGCCGCCGTAAGAATTGCCGCAGCTTCAACTTCAAATTAACTTCATAAATACCTTACACAAAAATTTTCAGTTTCTCTCCAATCTCTTAGTCTTTCAGTATCTCTGAGAGCGTCTCTCACAGTCTTTCAGTTATTACCTAGGTGTTTTTATGGATCTCTCACAGTCTCTGTATGAGAGACTCGAACGATAAAATTGTTAATTCAGAGATTCGAGTCTCTCGCAGAGAGACTGAATGAATAAAACTGAAAAATTGAGGGACTCGAGTCTCTCGTAGAAAGACTGGGATCTTTGAAATATGTTGAACTTAGAAAATTTTAACCATGTCTATCGAGACACCACTTATTGAGACATTCGAGTCTCTCGTTCAGAGACTGGGTACGAAATAAGGATCTCTCTATGAGCAACTTAAGTCTCTCGTAGAAAGACGGAAAACTGTTTTTTGACAGTCTCTCTCAGCGACACCAGAGAAACTCGATGAGAGACGGAGACTCGAGTCTCGCTTTCGGAGACTCTGAGAGACTGAACATTTTTATCTCGGATAGGGGTTGTTAAGAAAGTTTTGTGACCCACAGCACAAATAAAGGATAAAAACCTTTTATTTTAACAATAAACAATTATACAGTAATAAAAGGTCCTTATGTATCTATAACTCGTGCCCAACGCTCTGGTAAACTTTGAACAGCTGCAATCTAGAATTCTTTTAATCGTGAATTAAAGTCATACAGTGTATTTTTAAAATCCGCGAGATCATAATTTATTTTTATGTCATAAATAATGTTTTCAAAATTCGATACAGATGGAAGTCGATAGGTGCCAAGTCAGATCAATACGATGGGTGCGGTCAAAGTTGTATTGCTTAAGAGCGCCACTTCACTAGGAAATGTCAAATTGACAGAGTCAGTACTGGTGGGGATTCCCTTTATCAATTTGACATTTGTTCTGACGCCCTTAAGCAATACATCCGCTTTACCCCCCTTAAATGCGGCACTGGTCGGGAACTTTTAACACAAAATAACGACGAAAACTATTAGCGATAAAAAATAGGACACTTAAGCCTTGACAGCTTTAATATATATCTACGAGGACTCAAATTTGCATTTTTATTCTCACTCATAATCCGCAACAACGCTTTAGATCCGGTAATCTAATTTTAATTATGATAAATTATATATAGTTAGGTGGGTACATAAACCATAATGTGCGAAAAGTAGATAATAGCGACGGTATTTTTCTACTTCATAATCGCAAAAATTACTGACTTCATGCATACATAGTTATGCTTCATGCCACGCATAAAATGTGTCTCATTTGGTTTACAGAAGGAGTATCAGTTTAGGAATTGCGATATTATGACTATATAGTTCTTAAAAAGTATAAGCTTCTAATTTAATAAGTTTTAATTAACTACAGTACCAAATTAAGTCTCCAAAATTATAAAATAACCCATAATCGCCATTTTTATAATTTTATTTTGATTTTTGCATGTTTTATTATCAACTAGCTTTCCCCCGCGGCATTGCTCGCAGAAATTAATATTGTTTCTCCATAAAACCTTTTAACTCCCAATTCACCCTCGCAACGTTTGAATTTTATGTAATGTCGCCATCTTAGATTTCAAATGCAAATTGAGGAACAACATTGCATCCTTAAGGGTTGTTTTTTAAAAATTGCCAAAACACGTATCTGCTTAATTTCATCAATGAGCAACCTCCGAGTAAATCCGAGTAGAAATAAAATATACCCCATGGAAACGTTGCAACCTCTTTTCATTTGATTAATAATATCAAGCAGCATATATACCAAGTTTCAAGTGAATTCAACCATAAATAAAGTATTTCCCAAAGAAAAACTGCAACACCTTTTTTTAAAACATCGAGATAGGTCTTTCAGAAATTAAATAAGAGACCATTAAGACCAAGTTTCAAGTAAATCTGACAACAAATAATATATGTTCCATTTAAACAATAGCAACTCCTCTTTACCACTCATCCCACCCAACAGAGATTGAATTTTTTAACCATTTTCAAGTAAATCGGACCAAAAACAAACATGCAATCTTTGCAAACCCCTTTCAGCCTCCTAAAAAATAGGCAGAATTTTGTAAAATGTTGAAATAGGTATGTATGTCACTAATTTTATATGAAAAAGCCAAGTTTCAGGTAAATCTGACTATAAATAAAACACCATACTTAACCATAGACAACATTACGTTTAGCTGTCAGTTCCGTTTTGTTATTCCATATCAGTTGTGTTTTGTTATATCATTTTTAACAAATGAACGGCTAGACTAATTTTTTGACTCATAAATTTTTCGTTTTGCTGTCAGTTGCGTTTTCTTATACCACATTTTTTTTCCACTGGAATGTGTAACCAAAATGACTTTCGCTGGTTTTATCATCAATATTGGTATTGGCGCTTGAATATTTAAATTCTAAAAAGTTTTGGACCTTCAAACGTAAGCCAAGACTGGCTAGGCATTTTATTGTGTCTAGCATCATGTCAACGTAGTTTAAATAACATTTTTTTTGTAGTCCATTTTCGCTTTTCACAATCGCAGTATAAAATGAACAATAAAATTTAATTGACATGAAACAACTGCGCTTGGTTGCATTTATACTATTTCTAAAGACAGCCTGCACGTGTTTCCAGCAAACAGAGGTTTAACGAGGTGAAGCATTGGAATTATGTCGTATTTAACTACGATAAAAGAAACTGGATTTGACTTTGGCAAACATTCAAAACCATCTACAATAATGAACGGAATAGTACGAGATCTTTTGGCAACTGATTTTGAAATTTTGTTTAAAACAACACTTGTCTATATTCTTCAAATAGAAATTTGTTATCTTCCTACTTTTCATTATTATTTATTATTTATTTATTCCGTCTCATTCCTATAGGTGACGACGATACATTAGAACTAAGAATATCTAAAAGTCTACACAAAAAGCTAGTTAAGTCACTTTTGTGAACCATTTGTTTAATTGTGTTAAAATTGTTTGGAAAATTAAATTTGAAGGAATTGTTTGTAAATAGGTATGCAACACATCGTACACTTCAGCATAAGAAATTGCTGATACTAACTTTCATTTACGCAGCAGTAATTTGCCCTGTGCTGACAATTTTCTTTACATGTAATATTCATGTTTTCACCGAACATTTTTTTATTGTTCTTGTAAAATGTGATAGAACACTTGAAAAACGGATATTTAGGTAATTTTCATAATACTTCATTTAAGAAACAAGTCGTAATTCTTCATCATCTCTTCTAATTGTTCGAAATGAGAAAATATATCATGTACTCTTTTATCTCCTTGAAGATAATACTATAGAGATTGTAACGACCGATGCAACGTTTCGATATGATACAGTTATGACAAAGGCTTTATCTTATCCACGAGTGTTGGGTAATTATTTCTAGAAAAAAAGTATCTACTCTAAAAGAGGCTTTTGTTTCCTTCTTTTCTTCGTAATTACAGGAAAAGAGCGCAACTTATTGTATTCTCCCAGAAAGCAATAATATGAAAGAACCAAACTGTATAGAACTTGCAAGGGCGTCAGTGCTTTTGTTGTCTAACACAAAAAGAAATTATCTTCATTACGGATCACGATCATGGCAACTATTAAATTTCTTCACAACATTTAATCGATTCAAAAACATTTTGTTATTCAAAAATGATAAATTCTTATTGTTTCAAGCAAGAACAATAAAGTTAAAAAAGATTTGTATCAGTAGGTACGTAACTTCGACTAGTACGCATATAAAATAAGCACACAAAGAAATACTGCAGTAAGATCCAGTGTATTGCCCTCTACCGGGTATTCGCTAGTACTGAAACTATTTCAAGTGTTAGACATGGTTTTACTCAAGTATTTCAACTTATCTAATTAAATAAATTTTGTTCACAACATTTAATCGATTCAAGTAGATTTTGTTATTCAAAAATGATAAATTCTTACTGTTTGAAACAAGAATAATAAAGTTAAAAAGGGTCTATTCAGACTTGTATCAGTACGTAACTTCCCAGTGGCGACTAGTATGCATATAAAATATGTAAACAAAGAAATACTGCAGTAATATCCAGTGTATTGCCCTCTACCGGGTATTCGCTAGTACTGAAACTATTCTAATTAAATAAATTTCTAAACAAGAATTTAAACGCTTCTAATAGAATATAGTAACTATAATTTTGTATTAGTTTGTAAGAAACGCGATAAAAGGAAGACATAACTAATTACTTTTACGCCTTTTTTTTCGCAATTTTACAAAATTATAGTTACTATAATTTTGTATTAGTTTGTAAGAAACGCGATAAAAGGAAGACATAACTAATTACTTTTACGCCTTTTTTTTCGCAATTTGGTTTGCATGAGCTCGGCCTGTTGCTGCGACGAGATGTTTGCTTTAAATGTTGTTTATCAACCACTTCAATTATGTGTGAATTTTTAGCCAGTGCTGTTTGTGTTTGCACAGGTCTTGCCTGAAATTAACCAGCTGGATAACAATAACGGAGATGCATAATTAGCCAAGTGTATTATTGGTGTAAAGTGACAAAAAACAAATTAAGGCAATGTGTGTTTTGTTAAAATTATTGGAACTAATTTTCTTAACCCATGTTACGGTGGTATGGGCTTACCAACAAAAGTCAGCGTTGCCAGATGAATTTCTCTTTATTCCCTAGTTTTGTTTTTACCGAAATTTTCTTATATTTCCCCCGGGATTCACACAAAAAAGTCATACTTAAATAAAATAAAATAATTTGGTTCAAAAAAGGAAGACTTTTTTTTAGTTATTCACAAGTATTTAAAGAAATTTTTAAAGTGCAACTAACCTTTTCACAACAACAGTTATACCTAACAGGTCAATTGAAAAGTCCCAGGCCTAAAATAGTAAAACACATTTTTTTTGCAAAATTCGTTTTTTTCCCAACGAGCATTCTTTTGAGATCTCTATTAGCTGCAGCATCCGTGTTGTAAAAGCTTTTTATTTTGTGTTCTTAACACTATGTCGAAGTGCACTTTAAATAGTACTGCATACTATAAAGTAGTTATTTAATTAATTAATTAGTAAGCTGTCGATATTTACATTAGTAGTCGTCCCACAACCGTCACTATTTACATGTTTCGTCGATTAGCACTACAATTCACGCCCAGGGTCGGCTTCCGATTGCAACTTCGTTTGATTCTCTTACAATTTGTTGTGTCCCTTAACCACACTGCTCTACTCTAGTTAATACCCTCCAATGCTTGCTATTCCAGAAACACCCTGTATACGTATATAAGCACATTTATTACAATAACTTTGGGGGTTTGCTATTTTTACTGAAGTAAATGTTCCTTTCCCAGGATCGAAAAAACAGCGGTACTCAATCGAATGGCGGTAACAATCCTACTAATATCACCGGCGGGGGAAACAGCAGTCACCTGTCATCTTCCAGCGCCCTTTCGACACACCACGAACTGCAACTGCTCAAGGAACAGCTGGACCAACAAATGCAACAGACTCAAGCTGCCCTTGGCNAATTTTACGTTTCTGAATTTTGAGATTTCAGATTAACAATACAAATAGGTCAGTCAGGGCATGTTAATTTATATTGTAAAATTAGTAATAAGATTTGACCCTTGAGAACCCTAATTGTGAACATAAATCTGGTTATTCTGAAATTGGTTCTCCAAAATGGACTAACAATTATTAGGTATAATGGAAACTATTGAGTCATCTCTTGTGGTGGTTCCTTGTGAGTCAATTGAAGAGAAAGTACAACAATCGATATTGAATTCCATTAAATTAAATACCGGACAATGACGCCAAACGTCACTAATAATTATTTAATAAGTATAATAAAAATTCTCCCTAATGAAAATTGATAATTAAGATTGTATTGGGATATGTCGTTTTTCTTAATTTGTATTGTTTATTGATTACTATACTAAATTATTTCGTATTTCAATATAGTTCATTATCATAAGGTTGTCAGTCCTCAGACTAGTTGGACACGCACCTCCACTTTTTCCTATCATGAGCTAATCTTCGCATTTCCCTAAAACTAGAACAATCCGCAATCCTTAACCTATGTGTCAGGCCGGGGACTTTTCAATTGACCCTATATATATTAAAAATTAAATAAAAATTCTTTTTTCCTTGATCTGGTCATAAATTCCTTAGGTTTAGGAACATTTCCCTAAGTCTGGCAACGCTGGCCAAAAATCAAATGTGTTAGTGGACATCTCTCTCCCTCTTACTTACTGCATTCAGAGAGAAAAAGAGAAAGGTAAAGAAAAATTGTCCCACAACACCATTCAGCATTTTTAAATTATTTATAATACCTAATGCCATAAACGTTTTGTCACGATACCCAATAATAAACAAAGTGGTAAGTGCAATATTTTTTTATAAATACTAAACAGTGTATGTTAACTATGATTCATTGTTTTTTTTTTACATTTAGCCTCAGTCTCAACATATACCAGTCATGGAAGATTATATCCATCAAGATCATTCTGAACCAGGCTCATTAGAACACAGTCCCGTGATCCAGGGCCTGATTGAAAACAGAGCCGTAACATCCTGTCTTCCACCTTCTCCAATTCGAACTTCATTCAATCCATCCGGGGGCGTTTTCAATTTCTCGTATCCAACCCCTCAAGATTTGTCTTTCGAAGCGCAACTTATCCAACGTTTGCAAACCTTGTGTGGTTATACACCACCTCCCCAGTACTCTTCCTACAACCCGTACAACCAAACGTACTTGAGTCCACTTTACAACCACGGTTCCTACACTCTACAACCTCCACCTCAAAAGAAACTGTCACCCTCTCTCCACGGGAGACATTCGTACAGCGAGAGCCCCACATCGGACAGGCGATTTAGTCCTGCAAGGAATACGGATGAACATCTACAGAACATGCAACAAGTTTTGACCCAACAAAGCAACCATCTGCTTCAAGTCAGTCAGAATATTCAGCAGAGACTGTCTCCTCAACAACTTTCACCAAATCCCCAAGCCAACAATACGCAGGACAGGAAGCTGTCCCCTCAACCTCAAAGGACAAGCCCGAATCCAACAATATCTTCACAGAATTCTTCACAATCTTCTTCTCAATCCTCGTCCCAGCAAAGGATGTCTTCGAGGAGTGACAGTAGAGAAGCGCAATTCATAAAACCTCTGTCCCAAATGGGAACTTTGACCACGACGGACACCGAAGGTAGAGTGCGAGTTATTGTCCCAATTCCTGCCAATTCTTGCGACGACGATAACGGCAACCTCATGGCGTCCCCAATGAGGCTGGGAGACGATTTGAGGAGAAATATAACGCGTTCGACGAGCGAAAAAGTGCCACACAGGAGTGAACTTATGTCCCAGGTACAAAGAACGGCTTGGGCCCGTCACACTACCAAATGAAGGTTTTGGTTCGTGCATGTTTATTTCAGGTATTTGGACTTTTCATGCTCTCTGAAGGTGGTGAAATGGACAGAGCCTAAAACTACCTCCAAGGGACGAAGACCCAGGAAGAGGAATCCGAATGATATTTTTTGTGATCTATTAATTTAATAATAAATCTTATACGTACTTTTAAAAAATGGATGCTAAATGTTCATACCTAAAACATTTAATTTCAAACGGACAGAAAATGCTACCTACATTTGTTTATAAATAGGTAGTATATGTGAGTTTGTTTAAACATTATATATATATACACATATCTATTATTTACTATGAATAGAAAACCGTCTATTCGTGGATGATATAGAAACATAAGACGAGCGTTGCCATTTCTCAAGCGGCCAATTAAAGATGGAATTGAAGCAACATGAAACTATAAAGTATTTCTGTAAATAACGTAAAACATATTACATACGTATAAAAATATACTACATAAATTAGATTACAAATATAACTTATTATTACTATTACTATACGTAACTGATAAAAATGTGTTAGTTTATTTAATTAAATAAGTAGTTCAAGATGGATGAATATTTTTATATTTGACTGAGAGATTGAGCTAAAAGATTAAATACAGTATTGTTAGGTGCCAAATGTAAGTAAACGTGTTAAATAATTATATTTATTATAT